TCGCACTTGCTCAATGAATTAGCTCTTTACTCCTTTCAAATGTTCCAGTTTTATTGATTGCATTTCCAAAAGATAACTCATAATTATATTGCTGTTTATAGCCTGGTCTTGCCAATACTAATCCGCGCTCTCCAAATCTGCGGAGTCCCCTTCCAAGTTTTCCGAATTTTTTTCGTTTTCATGATTCAAATCGTCCAGTCTCCAAGTTCTTTCGGATTCTTCACGGTCTCCTAAGTTTTTCAGCGTACTTCCGGCCCAACCTCCTCTTCCTCTCTGTCTTCCGCGGCCGTCAGCTTCACCTGGTCTTCTCATAAACTGACGGAAAGCGAACTTGAGAAAGCGATATGCCTAAATAATTTTAATTAAATATTTGTAATTCTTGCTTCAGCTGCTCATAGCATTTACCTCCGGATTTTCGTCCACCACTTTTCTCATTCCTTCATTGAGCTGTTCAGGTGTTTGCTGGTCATTTTCGACAAGTTGCAGAATATTTTGTAGCGAACCTGACAACGTACTGACGAGCATGGTAACGTTATTTTTAGCTTCTTGCTTCAGCATTTCCGTGTCTCTGTTGAATTGCTCCACTTTTTCCTAAAATTTTCTTTGAGTACTTTAGAATTTTGAGGATCAGAACTTACCGTAATGTTATACTTTTGGCTCCATGCTTGGACTCTTTCTTTTTGCGCAGCGAAAGTCAGGCTACGATCCCTTACAATTTCAAAGTACTCATCTTCTGCCGCTTTGCTTAATCCGTCGAGATACGATGGACGACAGTTTCTTCCTCGGCGACCACCACCTAGACAGCCTGAAGGTCCCGGACCAATAGGAAATCCCAAACCTCCTCCTCGTCTGCGATTGCGTCTAGCACACGCAATCGCCATTGTCACGGCAAGTATAACAACAATCTTATTCATCTGTAATGAATGAAACAGAAACAAGCGCTCAATTTCAAAGAAGATGGTAGGGAGCGAAGTGCATTACAATCTTGTTCCAGTTAGGAAATCTTCGTTACTGTAGGATTACGGTGGAACTTTAGAAAGGTTTTGAGCCATCAATGACTACATTTTGCTCCAGAATAGAAACTCAACAAGTTGAAAAAAGCTGGAAACCTCATGATCACGTTAAATCGAATCGCTGATTATTGATATGATCGCACTCTATTGTAAGACTTTTTTCATAAGTTATGCCAGGAAAGCCGCAGTAACGTTTTTTCTCTTCAGAGTTTGTTCAGAAGTGTGATTATATTATTCGAAACTCTTT